CCAATACATTGGTTTCGCAGACCAAACGAATGTCATAACTTTCTTTAGTTTATTTGATCGAGCCTCACTCTCAATTCTTGCGTTCATCCTTCGGGATAGATACATGATTTGAGATAAAGTGCTCTTTCATCTAAACTATGAAAATTATGGGGTCAGTTTGACTTCATCTTTTTCAAAACTAAATTTTTTAAAACGTCCTTCCGAAGCGGGCAACGGGATTTCAATTCCGATGACCGACAACTTCTTACGGGCAAACCCCACACCAAAAATAGTGCCGACAAAGCTCAACAACAGAAAGGTAGAATAATAATATAAGATAGAGGTAGCGAGGTCAGGGTACCACCAACCTGTCATCCGAAGCTAAATGGACCCTAAGCCTACCTGGTCGTAAAGGTAATTGACCCAACACATCAGAGATCCTCGGTCAACAATCCATGAATTACGTCGTCCACGAGGACCTAGGTAGCCCTAAGGTTAAAGAAAGAAAACACTATCCTATGACTAAAATCTAGAGCTCCAAGAGGTGGAACTGATACTCGTCAAAATTTTAAGGATATCTCCGGAAAAAAAAACAGAGAAATGAAGGTTCAACCATAAAGATGAAAATGCTCCCAACAAAAGGACTTACACCCAGTATAGGTCGGGGAGCCTTCTAACGTTATAAACACACTAGACAACCTCCTATATAAAAAAGGTATGATGAGCTAGTCAAGTTGGAGAAGGATAGGGGTTTCTCTTCGAGACATGTAAATGATGCAATTATCTAGAGTGATAGATAATTTGGAGGCCCTATTATATGGTATGGGTGAAATCCATGCAATGCAGCCTGTTTTAAAATCGGCTCGAAGGCCATGCAGAAAAATAAATTTTAAAAATCCTAAATCTTTTAATCCTAAATTTTGATCTATCTTAAATCTTTCATTCGGATATTTTTATATATATATAAAAATTATAATTTTAACGTTCTTGATGAGCCTAGATTACAATTTTCATGATATTTCAGATGCACTGAAATAAACAATAAAAACAGTTCAGACATACAGTCGCTTAATAAAAGAGTAAAACACTCTAAGAGAATATATAAAAAAGGTCAGGTGTCGCTAGGTTGGTGATGTTTTCGTTCATTTTTCTCTCTTAATTTAAAAGGAGTCACCAGCTTGTCGATCATCGTATACTTCCCTTTCCCGAATAAGTCTATCTTTCGGGTGAACGACCCAAAGAAGAGAGGAACCAGAAAGGAGGGACATACAAAAAAAATAACAAGAGGAAACACAAAACGTGGAGAGCCTACATGTGATAAACCTCGCAAGGATAGGTTAAGAGTGTCCAACCAAAAAAGTAGACGTTGGTTGAGGGTTGATTTCATTGGGAAATAAGGGATCAACCTCATATGAATCGGGTGACTGTGAATTGGAGTATGTATCATGGTGTGGGATGAGCTTGATTGGACTAGATGGTCCTTCAACTGGTGGGGCAAGCAATTGGTGTTCTTCATCTTTTAAATAATAAAAAAAATCATAAACCTAGAATGAATTTCAGAAAAATAATGTCACACCCAAATAAATCTACAATGAAAATCTACAATAAATTTCAGAATAACAATGATATACACAAGAATAACTTCAGAATAACACCTAAATAACACCTCAATAAAACCTAAAATATAAATCTCTTAAAAACAATTAAATAACACAACAATAACACCTAAATAATATCATTATAACATATACATAATAATACAATGACTCCAGAATAACACAACAATAACACCTTAAAAGAATGATGAGATAAATACTTAAATGTACAAGAATATTACATGAAATATTATAACTCTAATAAACAAATACAACATAAACATTACAGCTATAATTTTCCAAAAAAGAAAAAAAAGGTTATCTAATGAGATAAATGAATTACATGTATAGGTTTGGGCCTCTTAAAGGTTTGATGAATCGGTGCTGCCTTTCTGCTCACAATTGTTGGTCACCTAAGCATGCGAGGCCTGACCTCAGGAGGTATAGGAATGACCAAGGATATATGCTCATAAAATCAGAGCTATGTAAAAGATAGATTATAATTTGCTATGATAAGAAAATAAACTTTTAAAAGTTATATAAAAGACACTAACCGTTAGGAATAAAAACAAAACCATTTATATATCCCAATGGATGATTCCGCCTTATTTTATAAGCGACAACATTCACTTACTCATTGACGAAGTCATATGCCACAACAAACCAATTAAATGAAGAGAAAGACTGTACATTATCATCAAATGCGTAAAACTCTTTGTGCACACTAAAATTGTAGAAGGAAAAAATAAGTTTGATAACAAAAACTAAAGAAATAATTCATCAAAGGGAGCATAACACTCCCAGATTGAAATCTTCACTAGGTCACTCTTTTTTTGTCTGACATCTATACCACAAGAGGAAACTTTATTCCAATTTACTATTGAGCCTTTGTTGGACATGCCTATCAGCAAAGCAACCTGATCAACATCAAATCTTTAGTCTTTCCCACCCATTTTGAATACCATTCGATCAAAATCTCAATATTTTAATATGTACAGTGTCAGGAAATTGTCTTGAGGATATGAAGGGAGATAAAAAAAATTGATCTAAATTCAATACTTTCTTTATTTCAGGTCTCATAAGATATGGTAGGTCGGACCTTATCAAGGGCATCTCTTACTACTGATGAACGACAACTACAATTGAAGGTCCTTGGGTTCATAAACCTACATATATACAACAACAAATTATCATTTTAACAACACTAACATAATACCAACATAATTAAACAAGAATAGTGTGGTGTTATTGTTGCGTGATAATTGTGTTATTTTGATATGTCTTAATGTTATTGTGGTGGTATGTGTGGCGTTAATTAACTGATATTGTGGTATTATTTTTGTTTGATTTAGGTTTAATTTTGGTGTTATTTTAGAGATATTTTAGTATTATTTTAGTATTATCATTGTTTTATTATGGCGTTAGTATAGTATTATTTAGTTGAAACCGTGATGTTATTGAATGCAGGAACAACTACAAACAAAATAACCTAGATGACTTTTGCTGGCTCTTAGCCACTTTGGTGTCATTTGTCTTAGACTCTTTGACTTCCTTCTTCTTACACTTTATCGTGATACTTCGATGTCCATCTTCTTAGGATCTTCCAACTCCATCTTCTTAGCCTCTTCGATTTCCTTCTTCTCTTCCAGTGTTAGCTTGCTTCAAAAAGAAAATGAAATACATGAGTTCACACCATAAACCTTAACCACTCATGCAAAGCGTTTACCATACTAAACCTTAAGATCAAAAAGCTTACATGACAGTAAAGAGGGAGTCAGATTAGACAAAATGCAACATTGGAAGAGAAGCGCAGCTCTTTTTCCTTTTGAAGCAGTGATTTTGACAGTCTAGTTAGCGCACGCTTTTAATTCTTCAAAGCATCGGGCAAATTCGAGTCTGGTCGACAAAAAATAAAGTGTTTTTTCGTCATTTTTAGGTGGGATCAGTCAGATACACGTGACAAGGCTTTATTGAAGTCTAGGCGTAGAGTTGCGTCCGGACTCTGTATGGAAGTTTTTCGTACTACTATATTTACATATCCATATTTATTTTATCCGCTTGTGGTATTACTTTGTCAGCACGTTCAAATAGTTTCTGGAGGCACAAAAGGGGACAATATGGCATAAAGAGGCTCTAGCAAATAACTTCGGCGAGACGGAGCATTGAATCCATTAGGGGCTACATCTGAGCTATATTCCTTATAGGACATCCATGGCTAGGGTTTACAAACAAGCACAGTATTAATTCCACATGAAAAAAAAAAAAAAATTCATTTTGTCGTATTTCAATTAAAAATCACACTTTTTGCTGAACATCTATCCAGCAACCATGCAAGGTATAACCGGCAAGCAGCTATAATCATTATAAATCTCCACATGTGTTGGATTCAAGCCATCATCTTCCCCAAATTCATGGAGAATAATCTGAGCGCATGGAGATGCTTTTCGAAGCAGCAAAACCTGTCCCCTCAAAAACCTCAAAACCAGTCTCTCTTTACCATTCCCCTCCTGAACAGCGGGAAGAACTAATACTATAGTTTCCAAAATTGCTGCTTTCTGTAGAAGAAAGCTCACCAATCTCATTTCATTTCTGCTTCCTTTAAAATTTGTCACTTTGATCATTTTCAGATGATCGAAGCTAAGATCATCAAGACTCAGCGGATTTAGCACGTGCACCCCATACTTTTCTTCATTTGGATCGTCAATGTGTGTTGGTAGCTGCTTGCAGAAGAACTTGATCAGTCATTAGAGCTAACAGAATTCAACTAATCAGGAAAACAATATTTAACTAATCAGCAAAAGATCTTACTAGGATGAAAAGCTTGTCAAGGAATGGGGAAGAACAGATATAAAAGAAAGTGCAGAAGCAAGTGAGATCCTCGTCAGTCATTGAGGTCATGACAAACTGTAATTCATGGAGGTTCTGCAGCTCGATTTGAAAGTCAACGTAGTTTTCCTCACTTAAATTCAGATGCTGACACAATACCAAAGTTCAAGTTTAGATTTTAGAACTAAAAGTTCATAATTAACAGAACCAGGAGTTTCTGCCAAGAGCAATACCACCAGAGCTGCTTTGCATAAGGTTAGTGTCTGAACATGAGAAAGACCAGATAGTAAATCCATGTAATCAGGCTCGGAATTTCCACCGATTGAATAGATTGCTGCGTCTTCCAATGAAAAGAGGTTCGATAGGTTAGTTTCAATGCCCAACCTTCCAAAAAAAGTGAAAAGATTGGAGCTTTGGAGCATTAATCTCCAGCAGATCGGTTGACCAACAATTCCCAATGGTCAACCGCTTAAGTTTCAGATCTGGAACCGTAATGCTAATAACACCAAGTTGCTGACAGTTCCTTAGGCTCAAGCTCTCCAGAAGAGAGCATTCAGTCAGAATACTTTGAAGCATCTCTTCATTGATGTTGGAATGACTGATTGACAGAGATTGCAGGCCACCAAAATTGCTCAGATTCAAAGGAGTGAAGAAAAAGCAGCGACTTACGCGCAAGTCGGTCAACGAGTCACAATTAAACAGAGAAGAAGGTAGCTCGAAGAGGCTTCTGCCATCAGTGAATTCACCATCTGCTGGGTTTCTAAATCCTTGGGATAACTCTATATCAAGATACCTCACTCCTTTACCTGTTGCAAAGCTTATCCAGCACACTATTTCAGAGGCAAACAAATCGAACGGGCAGAAGAAAATACGGAACCTCTCCAGCTTCTTACTGTCATTCTGTGATAGATATCGATTGACAGTATCCACAAAGTCTTTTGCAGATTGATTGTTAGCGAAGTCCTCAGTAAACTCAAGAGAAGTGGACGTGGAGAGAGAGTATTTCCATAGATTTCGCCATTTTTTGGAAAGAACATCGGTTCTGATTGCTGATTTCAGAGGCAACATGGTGAGGATGCTCTGAAGAACAGGATCAGGCAAGTAACTGATCCGATCCTCTGCTCGTCCCATGGCCTCTTTTTTCACTCGCCTTATTTTTTTCTGGATTCAAGCTTTTGCTGCTCGGCGTTGTTTTTTATTCCTTTCTTCGCCTGAAAGCCAGAGGAGAGGAAAAATCAAAATTGAAGCTGTTTAATAAGCCGACTTTTTCTTCCTTGTGCCTTCGCGAATTTTTTATTAACTGCTTTAATGTTTTTTACTGCTTTTATAAAAACCTTGTTTTTGCCACTGTCCGTTGGTTGTAAAAGTCGGGACTTTTTCAGCTGAATATATGATAGGTCGGTA